TATTTTTGCTTTCTTAATGATTATGGTTTGGTTAAAATCGTAAGCTACTGACCTGTTATGCACAGGGACTACAGGACACGTAGGTGGACGCTGCCCCACACAGAGGTATTCACAATCACTGTGTAACGATAAGAAGTCCACAACTGGAAGCACCAGAAATACGAAAGTTATTGCTGGGCTGTCACAGCGACAGCCCAGCAACAACAGCAGCCTCCTGATATTTTACAGATTTATCACTTTCATGGATATTATTGTAACCAATGTACGATCATCACTAGCACATCATTAACGGCTCCCTATCACTGTCACCTGTGCACAAATGGGTACATCTCATACTGTAAATTCACCCCTGTCACTCCAAAGCTTGCTCATCCTAACTGGTAAGCAGATATATGTCAGGCAGAGGTAGGCAGTGTCACAGTTGATGCTGAGATACATTTTGCATATGATCTCCTTAGACAGGGTGCTGTCATTTTGCTGCAGTTCATCCCGCCACTTCAGCATTGCCCCGCAAGCTGCCCAACACGGTTTTTTGCTTCTGCCGTCACCAATGATTCTTAATATATATTCTGTATTTTGAATGATGCTGCTTCAGGCACTTGCCGTAAGGACTACATTTAGCACACGAGGCCGGATCCTAGCACGGGGCAGGACTTGCCATGGGGCTGGGACCTACTAGTCTTCCTCAGATGTCCTGTAGGAGACCCTGATAGGCGCAGCACCAGGTTTAACAGAGTCCAAACACCCTTGGCTTAACCATCAGAGAAACAGGTAATGCCAATGACAAGGAAACACTCTGTTCTCTATCTCCATGGGAACAAAAACTGGTACTTTTAACTGGTAGCATGGCCAGTCTTTTCTCAGAAGATAAAGACCACTGTGTGGGCAGGGTTTTTATTCTCTGTAAATAAACAGATCTTTCTGCTGATATCAAGTCTTGGCAACCAGAAAAGGAATTTGCTGGAAGATGAGGAAGGAGATAATTCCTGGCAAAAGTTTCACTCCAGCCCTAGAGTACTAAAACCAGGTCTCCCAACAGCCTGGGTTTTTTTGGGTTGGGGTTTTTTTCTCTAGGGCACATGGAATAACACCTTCTTTTGTGCTTACAAAACAAATGCTGCCTTCCATAGTCTGGAAGAACTTCGGAAGTTTTTAATTATAAGAAAAGAAAAATGAGGACAAGTGAAGTTGGACTGTGCGGAATGCTTTGCTGGTCTGATCTAGGACAATGTGCCCTACATAGAGCTCAAATATAACATCCTTTGGGAGGCTGTCTTGCTTCCATTCAGCTTTTGTGAGACCACCCCCGCCCCTGTGGTACTAATGACAGATTTCTGAAGCATGACTAGTATCATGGTCTTGCTATCAACGTTAATGCTGTAAACAAAATCATTAGTGGCAGGCATAGAGAGGGAGGGAAAACTATGCGCAGATGGAGAATTTATTCTAGTGATATTCTTGCAGTTTCTGCTTTCTTCCTGCTATCAGCACTGAAATAGCTCATCCCCAGCCACAGTCAGCAACTCTGCCCCAGGTGGGCGACGCTTTCCCTTGATAGATACAAGGTCTGTCTTTTTTCTTCTATTTGTCTAGTTTTCCTGCCAAGGAGGAGCCATTGGCTTGAGCTAAAATAGTTGCTCTTCCTTGACGGAAACCTTGTAGTTGGCAAATAGAGGGATATTAAGGAAAACAGAAAATCTTTAGATATGTCATTAGACACTCCAATGAAAGTGTGGCCAAATTGTTACTTCTCTCTCCTAAGTCATACTGGCCAGGAAATTCCTGCAATCTTGTATTTGCAAACCCTCCAACAGAAAAAATCACAACTTACTTTTTTTTTTTCCCTTCAAAGAGCCTTATTAATTCTCCTCCTATACATTTCTGGTTCTTTTTGCAGGAAAGCATTTTTCCCTTCTGTGTATTTCTTATTGGAGAGAACAGTTTGTGTCCACCTCTACCCTACTCTCCACATGACTAAACTGCAGAGAGGATGTTTCAGTGAATCAAAAGGGTACTACAGATGTGAGCCAACAACAATCCAACAGGCTCTACAAAGGGAAGAGTTCCTCCAGTCCCTCCTGACAGTCCTCATACACACACACACAGGCTCACAGAATGAAAGCAGCGTCTGACACCAGGTCAAACCAAGAAATTCTTTGTGCATCGCATCCCAGTGGCGCGAGCCCCTCATGCACAGCACTGGGCTACTCGCTCCAAGGGAAGCAAATGCTGCAACAGCCCCCAGTGCAACCACAGGGCTGCGTTATGGTTTTTGTTTTCCTCTGGTTCCCTCCTGGTCTTATTTGTCGCTGCTAAACTTGGCATTACCTGGCAAGCCATTTTTTTCTTTTCCCAACTATATCATATAACAAGAACAGCACAGCTAATGTGCTGTGCTTTAGCAAGGTGCAGATACAACCTAGGACCAACTCTGTGGTGCGAATTCTGTCTTTAATACTTGTTTTTAGAGCCAATAATTTCACTGGTTCTTGATGGTAGAACTCTCTTACCTCTCTGTCATTATTAGGCATGCCCCTTATTGTGGATCTGGACTCCACTTGCACCAAGCTGCTGGATTCTGCTACGTCTTTCTTAAATTACAAGGACAGATGGCTAAACTGGGGCTGAAGAAGAAGTTGTTCACACTAAACAGAGACTTCCATGCACCCTGTGGGTGGAAAGCGGTGACTTTGTTGTACATCACAGCTGTAGGAAATATGGGAATGAAACTTCAACATAATGAGTTGGGCAGAGGTTAGAGAAACAAGAGGAAATTAATTGTTGGGGGTTTTATACCACTTTGGAAGCAATGAAAGAGAACATGCAAGACTTGCTGAATAACTGCAGCACTACCTCACCCCTATGTCTTAGCACAAACCAAAATGATTCAGAAATCCTTTGCCTGTGTGTTTGGGGTTTTCTTGCATGGACCTTAAAGGCAAGTTGCATGTTTGGAGCAAGATGTCCCATATGTCAGACACACACACACACCCCCCATTCACGAATAAAGAAACCAAAGTGAGAGAAAGCACGGCAAACGTCACTACTTACAGGTGTATGTCATTTCAAAGCTGTCACTAATGTTCACAATGTCGATCTGGGGAAGGAGCTTAGGGGGTTCTGTGAGCTGAGACAACGCAAACCTAAAAGCCGCATGTTCCTGGGACTGTTGATTAGGAAATAACCCCCCTGGGGAAAAAAACAGAACAACAAGAAGAAAGGTCTTAAGCACACCTGTATTAGCATTCTCTTCAGTCCAAAATATTTCTGCGAGCAGAGGCTACAGCTCCCCAGCCCAGGGAGTGCCTCTACACTCAGAAACCCTCCAGCATGCAAGACCTGGGGGGTTTCGTGCCCGCTGCGGACAGGCTGGGAGCAGAAAACCTTTCCAGCCCGTGCATTATGTAACGCCTGGATCACATATAGGAGCCCTGGTGCATCCCTGGGCCCGGCAGCCTGCGGGGTCGGGATGAACCACAGGGTTTGGCTTAATCTCCTCACCCCCTATAACTTTAAGGAAGAGAAATGGAAGCGCTGTCAATGTTACCTTTATAAAAGAGGAATGCGAGTCTCTCTTCCTCTCCCCCTCACTTGTAATTAGGCTCAGTTTAAACCCTGCTGACTAAGAGGAGGGGTTTGCTCCAGAAGGGGTGCAGGGGTTCCCGCACAGTATGGGACTCCAGGGTATGGGGCAGACTGGTTGAGCCTGGCCTGACAGCCGCAGCGCTGGGCTGCAATCTTGTATTTGCAAACCCTCCAACAGAAAAAATCACAACTTACTTTTTTTTTTTCCCTTCAAAGAGCCTTATTAATTCTCCTCCTATACATTTCTGGTTCTTTTTGCAGGAAAGCATTTTTCCCTTCTGTGTATTTCTTATTGGAGAGAACAGTTTGTGTCCACCTCTACCCTACTCTCCACATGACTAAACTGCAGAGAGGATGTTTCAGTGAATCAAAAGGGTACTACAGATGTGAGCCAACAACAATCCAACAGGCTCTACAAAGGGAAGAGTTCCTCCAGTCCCTCCTGACAGTCCTCATACACACACACACAGGCTCACAGAATGAAAGCAGCGTCTGACACCAGGTCAAACCAAGAAATTCTTTGTGCATCGCATCCCAGTGGCGCAAGCCCCTCATGCACAGCACTGGGCTACTCGCTCCAAGGGAAGCAAATGCTGCAACAGCCCCCAGTGCAACCACAGGGCTGCGTTATGGTTTTTGTTTTCCTCTGGTTCCCTCCTGGTCTTATTTGTCGCTGCTAAACTTGGCATTACCTGGCAAGCCATTTTTTTCTTTTCCCAACTATATCATATAACAAGAACAGCACAGCTAATGTGCTGTGCTTTAGCAAGGTGCAGATACAACCTAGGACCAACTCTGTGGTGCGAATTCTGTCTTTAATACTTGTTTTTAGAGCCAATAATTTCACTGGTTCTTGATGGTAGAACTCTCTTACCTCTCTGTCATTATTAGGCATGCCCCTTATTGTGGATCTGGACTCCACTTGCACCAAGCTGCTGGATTCTGCTACGTCTTTCTTAAATTACAAGGACAGATGGCTAAACTGGGGCTGAAGAAGAAGTTGTTCACACTAAACAGAGACTTCCATGCACCCTGTGGGTGGAAAGCGGTGACTTTGTTGTACATCACAGCTGTAGGAAATATGGGAATGAAACTTCAACATAATGAGTTGGGCAGAGGTTAGAGAAACAAGAGGAAATTAATTGTTGGGGGTTTTATACCACTTTGGAAGCAATGAAAGAGAACATGCAAGACTTGCTGAATAACTGCAGCACTACCTCACCCCTATGTCTTAGCACAAACCAAAATGATTCAGAAATCCTTTGCCTGTGTGTTTGGGGTTTTCTTGCATGGACCTTAAAGGCAAGTTGCATGTTTGGAGCAAGATGTCCCATATGTCAGACACACACACCTCCCCCCCATTCACGAATAAAGAAACCAAAGTGAGAGAAAGCACGGCAAACATCACTACTTACAGGTGTATGTCATTTCAAAGCTGTCACTAATGTTCACAATGTCGATCTGGGGAAGGAGCTTAGGGGGTTCTGTGAGCTGAGACAACGCAAACCTAAAAGCCGCATGTTCCTGGGACTGTTGATTAGGAAATAACCCCCCTGGGGAAAAAAAACAGAACAAGAAGAAGAAAGGTCTTAAGCACACCCGTATTAGCAATCTCTTCAGTCCAAAATATTTCTGTGAGCAGAGGTTACAGCTCCCCAGTCCAGGGAGCGCCTCTACACTCAGAAACCCTCCAGCATGCAAGACCTGGGGGGTTTCGTGCCCGCTGCGGACAGGCTGGGAGCAGAAAACCTTTCCAGCCCGTGCATTATGTAACGCCTGGATCACATATAGGAGCCCTGGTGCATCCCTGGGCCCGGCAGCCTGCGGGGTCGGGATGAACCACAGGGTTTGGCTTAATCTCCTCACCCCCTATAACTTTAAGGAAGAGAAATGGAAGCGCTGTCAATGTTACCTTTATAAAAGAGGAATGCGAGTCTCTCTTCCTCTCCCCCTCACTTGTAATTAGGCTCAGTTTAAACCCTGCTGACTAAGAGGAGGGGTTTGCTCCAGAAGGGGTGCAGGGGTTCCCGCACAGTATGGGACTCCAGGGTATGGGGCAGACTGGTTGAGCCTGGCCTGACAGCCGCAGCGCTGGGTGAGTGGGGACAGGGCTGTGAGAGCCAGAGCGACGTTGGACCCATGGCCAAACAACTGCTGCTAATGGAAGTTTGCTGTATGGAAAACCCCTAAATTTAACAGGTGACAGTGGCCAAACTCAAAGAGGGCAGGAAATCAAAAGCTTGACCCTCAAAGGGATCAATCTGAGAAGAAGTACAGACAAGCCCAGAACCACAGGATTATATAAATAGGATAGGAACTGGGACCAGCCTAGACCCAGGCTCAGAGCCTTTCTCCCTGCCATGGACCTGGAAAAAAGTGCTGCGATAACCCGACCCTAGGAAAAGTTTCCTGCTGCTCCCCTGGCAGGAAACTTGGCTTGTGGCAGATCCCTTCACAGCCTCCAGAAAGATGCTATTGAATTCAGACTGTCTTGTAATCTATATGCATTTAAAGGGAGCACTGTTATTGGCATTTTACGAGTAGGGAAACAAAGCACTTAGCAACAAGGTAGAATTAAAATAAAGAAGCAGAAAGTATCAGTGCCCACCCTCCAGGGCAGATGGCTTGGGGAAGAAACTAATGTGCAAGGACCTGCTATCAACGGCACTTTGCACATCTTCAGTACAGAGGGCATCTCCTTGTTGTGTGGAAAGGACTATTTATGCATGAATATCCCCCCCTCCCCCGTTCCTCCCACCCCCCAGCCTAATCATGGGTGTCAGAGGAATAAGATGCTCGTAAGGGAGTTAAGCTATTATATGTGTTTGTTGAAAGGGAAAAAATCTGGGATGTTGCACAAATTTGGGGTAAAGGGGAGGCAGGAAGGAAGGGAGACACGGATGCAGCATCAACAGCAATAAAAGCACCGACTGTGCAGCTGGACTCAGGCAGGAGTTGCCTGAACTTGGTGGATTAGCAATTGATTGGCATTGGAAAGAGAAGGGAGGCGGAAGAGAAAACCGGCATGCAAGGGAAGAGAATTTGGGGCTAGGTTACAAACCATCATCAATAAAGATCAATGGGAAAGTAATAATAAACCTGGGGAGGGAGGGAGAGAAGCACTGAGAAGTTACAGGAAGGGAGAAAGGAATCAAACAGGCACTGCTGGTGCGCAGGGGAAGCAAGTAGCAAGAAATGAAAAGAGATTTCAATGCAAAATCTTCCTCCAATAGCTGTGCCCTTATTCTTTAGCAACAACAACAGAGAGCGCCTGTTTGTTACCTCTCGTCCCAGTTACCTACAGATGAGAGCATCCTCACAAAAATGTATAATGCAACCGCTGATTTTGCAAATGCAGCAATGCACAATGGCAGCCCAGGCGTTTCTCAGAGCAAGAAACAGATATTTTTTTCGTGCTTCCTCCATTTCAGAGGCACTTTTCTCCCTCTGTGTTGGTGTGTGTGCAGGCATTTATTCCCAATCCTCCCCTCCCCCAAAGCCAAATTGATACATCTCTGCTCTTGTAAAGCTGGTACCAACACACAAATCCAGCCCTCGCAGTTCATCCCCTCGCTCTCTCTCACATACATACACACACACACACATATTTTGTCTTTGCAAGCAAATGAACGGGTCAGTTTTCCCCCACCGCCCCCTCTCCACCCCTACCCACTAGCCGGGGAACGTCACTCGCAAACGGCCCCGAGCTCTGCACTCACCTATCTGGATATTGTTGGGGAAATTGGCCCCTAACACCGCCCCTAGGAAACTGGTGCAGAAGAAGGCAAAAATGTGCTGCATATTCCTTTTTGCATTGGCGAAAAAGAAGCCCAGTTCCAAGCATAGATTTGATTTTTCCCCCGCTCTGCTCTCTTTAGCCGCCTCTCTTGCCTCCCCTCCGCTGCGCCTTCAGGGTTGCGCGTCTCCCTCGCTCGGAATCCAGCGCCGAGACTGCTGCTAAACACCGCCTGGCAGCAGGATTAACTGAGCCCCGTGAGAAAGAAAGAGAGCCCGCTCCTCATCCACATCCCTCCCCCGCCACACACACCACACACACGCACACACCAGGCGCTTCCACCCAGCTCATTCGCCTTCTCCCAATTGGAGCTCAACAGCTGGGTACCGCATCCCCCCCTCGCCCCGGCTATCCCCCGCCGGCGTCCTGGCCGGGGTCTCTATGGGTAATTCCCACCTACCCCTAAATTCCTGGCTTTCCCCCTCAACTTCTCTTGGCAGGAGGTAGAAGGAACCTGCAAATCAGTAGGTGGCAAACTCCTCTAGAGAAAGGGCTTAAACTCCTCTGCCTCTGATCCATCGCTCCCCAACCTGGGCTCTCACCCCTGGGTCCAGGAGCTGAACAGACCAGCCTCTACAGCCTGGCTCATTAGGATAACAAAGAGGGTCGTACCCTGCAAACGTGCCTTGGAAGGAAGGATTTCAGAGCAACAGACAACAGAGATCCCGAAGGAGGAAAAAATTAACACCCCACCATCACCTTTCTCATTGATTTTTCCTGCACACCGTTAACCTATGAGGCATTTCACCCCTGTGCTGATGTGGAGGAATCTGTGCTCACCAGGACCATCAGATAGGGCAGGTTTCTGAAATTAGGGGGCTATTTTAGCCTGGATCATTACAGGAGCTGTTGTTCTGTGGCAGTTCTAGTGAGGTTTATTTGACCATAAGCAGCTTTGCTCACAAACAAAAGGGGAAAAAAAAAATCAATAAAAATAACAACAATAAAAACCAGCTCCTAGGCACCACTTGGGATTTGGAAATATTTGAGGAAGAACTGCTGTGAACACAGAGCTATAGCCATCTCGGAAAGGAGGGAAAATTCACCCATTCCCTTCTGAAACACATAAAGTCCCAAACCAAACTTGAGGCCTCTTGTGCCTGAATACCCATGTCCAAGCACAGAGGTTCTGCCCTTAGCACTTGCAGCCTGAATACACACAAGGGGTAAATAGCAGAGAGGAAACAGAAAGAAAAAAAGATGTTTGGGGCAGAGTTAGAAATAGGACTCAGATGCCCTGTGTCCTGGTTTGGTGTAGGGTGCCTTGCCCTGGTCCCCACTCCCCATCTCCAAAAGCATGTGGTTAAATTGGAAGAGCATCAGAGTGGTGACCGATGTTCACAGGTCGGGAATTGCTCCCGCATAAGGAACAGTTGGACAGACGAGAACTCTGGAGAATGGGATAACTGAAATGGGATGTGACCAAAGCCTACAAAATCTGTAGTAGCACGGAGACGTTCCCTGTTGGCCACAGGGGCCAGGTGTGACATAACTTGATGGTGCAGAGACACTACTACTTTTTATATCCTCAAGCCTTTTATGAACAGCATGGTCTTGAAAACAGAGATAGCAGCATCTTTTTGTTGGCAGGTCCTCTACTTCCTCTGAAGGAGATTTACTCCAGGTTTGTTTCCCTGTACAGCCCTTCCTGCCAGCTGACAGAGTCCTTGGGTAGAGCAGCATCATACATGGTCATGCACTATCTCCACAGCCAAACGCGACAATGACTGGAAAATCATCTCTCATGCGGCTTATAAGCATAGGCTCTGGGTAAATGAGAATGGATCATGATCCTTGCACAGGCCTTCATTTTATCTCTGCAAATAAGAGTTTGGGATCTTTAACATCTTCCTAGACAGTTTTATGGATTTCACTGTGACTTCTGGGATGACAAAATGCTTAAACACCCACATAGATGCCAGAGTAGGTATAGGGTCTCAGCACTGTACTCTAATACCTTGCATCAGAGAGGAGTTGCACTGATGCCTGCAACTTTGTGGCCTCTTACAAGGACAGTATGTACAGTTACATGGCAAAAAAACCAGAGCCCAGAAGACTTGCATCTTCCTTATGGCAAGCAATAAAACCTCCTTCTAGGATGGATTCCTTTTTTTCCCCAAGCCACCCTTGACCAGGGCAACGATTCTCTGTGCCAGAGACTGCAGGTTCATTAGAGCAGTTGTTCAGGAATTCAGGAGTCAGTTACAGGGTACCAAAGGATGCTCTTACCCTGTCTCACTGCCTGGGTGACCGGCATCCCAGAGTCATATTCAAGCACAACAAATTTACATCTGCTGTTGATAGGTAGCACCTTCATCAGACTTTCATCTCGTTCCTTGTATAATTTAAGCAATACTGATTTGAGGCTAAAATAACCTGCTGATAGGTTTTATGGGCTCTTGCTTTCCATCCAGAATTTAATAGAAACAGCTGCATTTATAATCTGAAGAAAGGCACTGAAGGATAACCAGCGCAACAGAAAGATGCTAGTACGTTTTCAAAACTCCCAAACAGCCTATCCGATAATAATAATAGTAGCCATAACAATAAAATATTGTAATAGCTCACAGAAAGCTTGCACAGTCGCATTAATTAATAATGCTGCTTTTGTCTATAAACCTCTCAAAGTGCAGGTGGCTTAACAAGGAGAACCTCACCACAGTGTAACAAGATAAGTAGTAATAAGACCATTATTTTAGGAAGGTATTAATTTCCTTTTTCCCTATAGATAACAACATTTTATTCAGAGTTTGTTAGCACAACGATGTTAGGAATTAACTCTAGCTGCTCTGAATATTCTTTACATCGACATCAAAGCAATATAGCTTCTGAACTTTTGGCTAAACACCAAACCAAGTCTTAGGAAATTGATGAAACTCTCGGATGTCACAAGAGTGGTCACAACAGAAAGACAGATCAATCCCCCAGTCTTCTGAGAGAAGAGCCCAATTGAATTATCTAGATTCCTAAAAACAGTTGAAGGAGCTTATTCCTCCTTTCAGATTTCAGAAAACAAAGAAAATCATTCAGTACAGCATGTAAGTATATTGCACAGTGCCATCTTAATCAGGGGCAACTAAAATATCAGGGAGAAGAGTTTTGAAGACCTGTATTTTGTCTCAAAGGGTTCCTAAGACATAGGTGAGACAGGCGGGCATCTGGTGGTTAACAGAAAACATCCAACAAGGTCTTCTGGGATTAATCCATGCAACTGAGTGCAAAGAATTAAGTAAATACATGTCTAAATAAAAAAAACCCCAAACCCACTGTCCAATTTAAGGTAAGAAATGTTGTAAAGGAGTTTTAAAAGAGTGTAGCTGGTTCACTTAAGATCTTTGCCAGAGATGAGAATAAGAAAATGAATACATCAGAGCTACTGTTCCCATTGTGCGCTGCCTGGAGCTGACCTTGCTGTACTGAGTGAGAACCTTTGTTCTCACCCATTTCTGCTCCAACGTTTTGCACACCAGAGAATTTTGTCTCTGAGGAGGCTGTCTGCCGCCTTCCTCTTTGCTCTGCTTTGCATGACATGAAGTTGTCCACACGAGCAGAATGGTCTGCCTTCAATATCAGAGCTTTTGTTTCCAGGATAGGAAATAAGCGGTTGTTGCAGCAGATATATTTCTGTACCAGAAGCCTTGGAAAAACAAAGGACTCATTCACATGCAGAAGCCTCCAGCCTTGAAAAATGAGGAAATCAACAGAACTCGGCATCCGTCCGACCTCCTAGCAGAATTAGTTCCCCCAGTGCCCACTGTGTTTTACATGATGCTCCTGAATGTCTTTAAAGAGGCTATTGAAATACTACTATTTCTGAAATTCCTTTTATTTTCTAGCTGGACAATCTCTATAGGAGGCTTTTGATAAAGAGCAAAATGTAATTATAGTGATTAATTTAAATAAACTCCAAACAACACAGACTTTTACGTGGGTTTCACAGAGCCTTGGCATAAATGAATGCTAATGGAGTCACATGCATTTCTCTCTCTGCCTTGTTCACCTCAATTTTGTTATTTTGGACAATACACCTCTCAAGGAATGATCATAGCGCAGGTGCTGAGAGAACGGACTCCAGAAGTTCAAAATGGGGAAAATATGGAAGCGATCAAAAAGGAAAAGGGATGAGATAGCTCCCTCCATTCACAGCACCAATGTAGCTGGAAGCGTGTGTGCAGATAGCCCTTGGCACACCTACACCCAGCAAACATATGCACAGTCACTGGTGCCACCCACACGAAAATGACACTGATAGACATGGTTAGGAAAGCGTACGTGTGCCGTACGTGCACACACACACACTCGCAGGATCACCCAGGCAGGAGCGGGCGGCAGAACTCAAGGGTGTTTGCTAGCATGTGGAACTGCTGCAGAGGGGCAGGAGCGGCTCTGCAGCCTGTTGCACTCCCATCATGTTTTATGAAGCAAGTTTTAGCCTGCACAGGGATTTTGGGCCTGCAGCCAGGCCCTTCACTCATCCTTACTCAAAAAATTCCTACTGAAGTAGAAACAAGGGGACTTCAGGCTCTTTATGGTCATTTCCCTGTGTGCCTACATAGTTTATTTTACATCAGACACTTGCTTCAATCTTTTAAACCTGGAAGGTATTATTTACAGCACTGAAAAATAGCATCTACAAACTGTAATTGCCAAATAATTTTCAGTAGAATCTCCTTTACAGAAATAGCCTCAGCAATGTTTGGTATCAGGCAGAAAAAATCTCCCCCCATTCATGAATCAGGCCTGAGGTGTCTATGGCCCTTCTCTTCTTTACATGGCAGCTGGAGTTGTCAAATGAAATGCTTTGACATCCCAGAAGCAACTCAGAGAAGCTAAAGGAAACGTGAGCTTCATACCTTTCCAGTGTGGCTAAAATGCAAAGATGTGGGTGGGACAGGGGCAACACCCGAGATGAGGATAGCTCCAGGCAGGTCCTGACTGATGCCAAACATCTGGGGACTGATGTTTCAAGGTCATCAGAGATTGTTTCTTAATTTACTGACTGCTGATGGGGGAAGCCTGATGTGAACTGAAACTGGGGAACATTGGCTTTTTCTACAAACCGTACAAGAATGTGCTTCTGTTGTCATCCTGATTGGCTTATTACCATATTTATATGAAATGACTTCTTGCTTACTATGGGATAATTAAGTAAGTAAATGGACTGGAAGATAAAC